TAGGGATCAAAATTTCCCCCGAGCTGTCAAAACTAGTCCAGCTCAACATCACCTCACTACTCAAAACAATTGACGATGATCTTCAACGCTCGGTGAACTTTCCAGGATCTCTTGAGGACAGAATAGCCATTGTTAAAGAGAGAATAGACGCTAAAATCAGTTATCTATTCACAATGATTCCAAGTCAACCCAGCCTCCCGTGATTTAAAAAATCTGACTCCATCATCACCAAATATTATTGGAAAAACAAGACTCCTAAAATCAAACTAGCAACTCTAAAAAAACCAAAACACCAAGGAGGCTTAGCGGCCCCACATTTTTTGCATAATTTTTTCAAATTTGTATCTAAGTGGATGCATCACAACCAATCAGACAGCACATGGATAGATATCGAAAAAACACTTTGTGAAGAAAGTAATATTTCAGAATTACCATTTCTTAGCAAGTCCGTCAAACGCCACCGTTGTTTCAAAGCATTAACAATAAAATCAACTCTGACATTCCATGAAATCATGGAAACCGTTCCTGCACCATTAGACTACGCTCCCATTTGTAACAACCCTGGCTTCAGTAATAACATCTGGGTCTCATTCTCCTACCTAGTTGAGAAGTATGGAATGACTATCCTGAATATCTTCTGCCCTGCTGAAAAAAACAGCTTAGACCAGCTTTAGTCTAAGATGGTCTGCCAGCCTGACCAGCCTTGATACCTTGGGCTGGGCTGGTTTGTTGGTTTAGAGGGGTTTTGGACACTTTAGCTGGGCAAGATTGCTGGTTAAGCTGGTCAGCGGTCTTGCTGGTCACCATCATCTTTTAGCTGGTCAGACTGGTGTGGTCTTGAGTACACTTTTGCTGGTATACCGGTAGCTTGATGGTTAAGCTGGTCTTAGAAGATGATGATGATGCTCACATGCAATTACAGCACAGTAGCTCAATTGACAAGACTGCATTATAGACTGTGTCAGTGGGGCCAATACTCTTGATATGTTTTATATTTTTTCAAAACCATGCTGAATTATATGTGTAAAACCTCTGTTTCCTGTGCTAAATTGTTTTGATCAAATAATAGTTTTGAGTAAACCTCTAAAATACGAGTTGTTTTGAAACCACCTTTTTTGTACTAAATATCTGCCAATGAAAACAGTGTCAATGACAAACAATTATTATTGTAAGTAAAAGAGTGTAAACGCTACTAAGCAAAAAAAAAAAAATGCGTGTATGACAAGCATGTTCAAAAATGTGACATCTGTCAGTTTGGGTCCGAGCACATATTTTACCAAAAAGGTACCAGAATGTATACAATCCATTCCATGAAAAAATACTACACACATATCAATTTAATTTATACATTTTTTTTATTATACACTTAATAAATTAACATTAGCCCAACTTTGACATGAAGGGTGAATACATATCAGAATTTAATTTATATCAAAAACAGCATTGGTAACAAAACTGTCCAGATCCACAATTGTTTTAAGTTTTTTTTTCTTTTTTCATAAGGTCTTGAATTTTTTGTGAAATGTAGTATCCCACAAGCTTCTCCCTCTTCTCCCTCTCTGTCTTCTCCATGTTCTGTGCCTTCAACCATCCACTGAAGTGCTCTTGAAAAAGGGCGTGGTGGGTGGGGTTATAGAAAATACACATGCATTACCTTTCTGCCTTGAATGTTTTTATGCAGTTGACATTCAGTGTAGGAAGTGTAGGCAGCATACCTTTGAGGATTCCAAGCTTGTATGTGATAAGGGAGGCTTTGCTTCGGTATTTTTTGTTGGGCATTCCTTCCCAGACACGCTTCTTCCCCTCAACTCTACCGTACCCCAGATGGCTACAGCCAACTCTTTTACAAAGAGTGAGTCCTTTGTTGTAGAGTGGATTTTTCTCCACACCTCCTCACGCAGCCACATGTCTTTTCCAATGTGGATCAGAAGAAGTAATATTTTTACACATTATTTCTGAGTGATTCATCTCTGCTAAATACCTGTAAACACGACAAGTTTATCCGCATAGCTTGAACTGAAGAAATAGGTTTATGCACTAGAAGAAAAGGTGACTCTTAACAAATAATCATATAGTTCTGTCGCTGCTAGGTGTGCATTACTAACATGTTAACCATGAGCAATTTTTAAAGTCTAGATTATATAAAAAATAATGTTGCTAAGTATTGCCTCTGTCTGTGTAACCCTATGTTTATCTGTTAGTCCAATAACCTGACAAAATTGTTACACATTTTCAAAAATAATGGCTAAAGAAATAGAAAATGGAAACAATTTGTACCATCCCAAAAGGTTTGGACAAGGCGTTGGCTGAAGTGGGTCCCTCTCTGAAGTGGGGTTGTTGATTGCTGGTGGTGTCAAAGGTGCAATGACACAGTGTTGAGAGGTCACTGATTCTTTACCATAGAATATGGATATTAAACACAAAGAAGGGATAGCAGAAAGAGTTTTGATTAATATTACATCTGATACATATCATTAACTAGACTGTAGCCATGATAGCAGTCATGTGAGACTGGAAAACTTATTACACATCAGAAAAAATAACAAAAATAGTGGATTGATGAAAATGGGGAGACAGGCCAAAAGAGAGTGTTGCTCCTTTTTCTCACTGAAATTAACAGAAAGTCAATTTAAATGTGACTGTACCTTAATAGGCTATATGTGGGCCATTGCTGATTGTGTACAGGCACAAATTTCAGTAGAATGCAGATGTTGTCTGTTTGTAAACCAAGCTGACCAAAACTACCATTATGCTTTAAAAACAAAAGCCCTCACTTTGAAAAAAGACCTGTTTCAGCAGTTCATCAAGATTTTGTTGCAGTGTTAAGTTTGCATTTCTGTAAGTTGTCAATTCCTGTTCCAGCTCACATTTACAGTTCTCCAATTCAGCAGATCTTTATTATAAAAAGAAGAAAAAAAGGAAATGTGCACGTTAATAACCTTTTAGTATCCCACTACTTCCATCTGAAATTTGGTATTATCCTAAAACTGATATTTAAAGAACACATAAGCATAGATGTTTACAAAAATGTCCACCACTTTTATAGAAATGTATTAAAAAATGCTTTTATTTCATTAAATAAAATATATCAGATGCAAGACAACACCATTGATAAGATGTGTCTTTGATGTAAACGTCTTATGTTGTTTCAGTGTACTATATAGGCCTTGTCATGTTTTCTTTGTGCACTTTTTTCATGGTTTCTTAATTTTGTTTGTAATGGTCCAGGTCTTGTTTTAGATCCTGCTGTTTTCTTTGCATTTGCTGGTACTTCAGTCTTAGTTCATCATGAATCTTTTGGGGAAAAACTCCTCCATCCTCTTCACTGTCAGAGAAGATGTCTTGTAGTATCTCCTCCCTCTTTCTCTTTTTGTCATTTGCAAACAGTGGAGAATGTTTTTTCATCGCTTTCTTTTCAGCCAAGATTTACATTAAGCTTTTCCTTTTCTCACTTCCCTCTGCTGCCTTACTGGTTTTCTATAAAAATAAGAAAAGAACAAGTGTGAACCCAAACTGATGGAATTAAAAATTGTACATTACAAGACAAAATAATACAAAGCACTGAGTAGCATAGATCAGTGGTTCTCAAAGTGGGGTCCAGGGACACCCAGGGGTCCTTGAGAGGGTTCCAGGGGGTCCCCAGCAAAAAGGGAAATCATTTATTTTCACTATAATTCCATCCATAAGTAACACAATGACAGAAGGTATGACTATTTTGGTCATGAGTTTCTGTAATATATATTTATGTATATTTTCTGTAATAAAACATCTAAAAACCCAATATCCTATGAAATGGGAGATCCTGGGACAAAATCTTATCAAATGGCGGTCTGTGGTCTAATTTGTGTCACTTACAATAAAAATGTGAACGTCATTGACGTGAAAACGTTTGAGAACCACTGGCATAGATGTATCACACTTAATAGAAGGCAATTTCAGAAATGTGATCCTTTAGTGTGAAAATTCATCTGATATCGTACCTCTCTTGGTTAAGGTTCTTTTCAAGATGCTACAAAACCAACTTACAGAGACTTCTAAATTGCTGAAGAAAACTACTACTAACCGACATTTTTTGGTGCCAGACGGGCCGGTCTGAGTATTTCACAATCTGCTCAGTTACTGGGATTTTCACGCACAACCATTTCTAGGGTTTACAAAGAATGGTGTGAAAAGGGAAAAACATCCAGTATGCGGCAGTCCTGTGGGCGAAAATGCCTCGTTGATGCTAGAGGTCAGAGGAGAACGGGCCGACTGATTCAAGCTGATAGAAGAGCAACTTTGACTGAAATAACCACTCGTTACAACCGAGGTATGCAGCAAAGCATTTGTGAAGCCACAACACGCACAACCTTGAGGCGGATGGGCTACAACAGCAGAAGACCCCACCGGGTACCACTCATCTCCACTACAAATAGGAAAAAGAGGCTACAATTTGCAAGAGCTCACCAAAATTGGACAGTTGAAGACTGGAAAAATGTCGCCTGGTCTGATGAGTCTCGATTTCTGTTGAGACATTCAGATGGTAGAGTCAGAATTTGGCGTAAACAGAATGAGAACATGGATCCATCATGCCTTGTTACCACTGTGCAGGCTGCTGGTGGTGGTGTAATGGTGTGGGGGATGTTTTCTTGGCACACTTTAGGCCCCTTAGTGCCAATTGGGCATCGTTTAAATGCCACGGCCTACCTGAGCATTGTTTCTGACCATGTCCATCCCTTTATGGCCACCATGTACCCATCCTCTGATGGCTACTTCCAGCAGGATAATGCACCATGTCACAAAGCTCCAATCATTTCAAATTGGTTTCTTGAACATGACAATGAGTTCACTGTACTAAAATGGCCCCCACAGTCACCAGATCTCAACCCAATAGAGCATCTTTGGGATGTGGTGGAACGGGAGCTTCGTGCCCTGGATGTGCATCCCACAAATCTCCATCAACTGCAAGATGCTATCCATCAATATGGGCCAACATTTCTAAAGAATGCTTTCAGCACCTTGTTGAATCAATGCCACGTAGAATTAAGGCAGTTCTGAAGGCGAAAGGGGGTCAAACACAGTATTAGTATGGTGTTCCTAATAATCCTTTAGGTGAGTGTGTATTGTAACTTAAAAAAAAAATTCTAACTTGTGTTGCGGTTGCCAGTCAGGAATTTCCAGCAGGATTTCATCTCAATCTAAGTTCAATGTTAAACCATAATAACATGGAGACCAAATAGCTACAAAATATATTAAACTATATCAACATTAGTCTAAAAGGTTTGTCTAATTTCACAATAACTGAATTTGAAGCTGATATACTATTTAATATTTGCAACACATTGCAAATATCCTCTATTGCAATGGTATGGTATGTTTTAGCACACTTTGTTATTGCAAGTGTAAAGATTTTTTTTTATCTTGGCCTAAGGCAATTGCTATGTGGGTTAAACTAGTCTTCAAGTCTGTTTCCAGCAATTTAAGAAAAAACATGGCAACCTTGGATAAATCACAATCCCCCCTTTCCAACTACAAGCGAACACACCTTACCCCTCCGTTTGTGATCGGCAGGTGCAGAGCACACGTCTCCAATGAGCACATCAGAGCGCAAAGTTTGGATGAATTTACCAGCATAGTATCTTTGAATCATTCAAGAAACATACTGCCTTCTTTTTTAAGCCGTCCTTTTCTCTGGATGTCCCCTCATGTTTCTCCACTGCAACGCCGTCTTCCAGGTGGATCTTGGGGACTCGAATCCTTTTCGGAGGATTAACAGTTAGCTCCTTAATCTCGTCTCGGGTTTCTGTAAAAGGTAAGTGTAACGTTAAATGTAGCAATTGCTAAGAGTCAGTGAATGTGTTAACTTGACAGCTAACGTTATCTAAATTACCTAAAATTCTGTAGCCAGAATAAGCTAATGTTAAGCTAACGTTAGCTAAGAAAGACAGTTATGTCAGATGAGTTACGTACCTTTCAGTAGGAGAACCTGGCCATTAAACTACTCATCTTCCCAAACAATTGGATATAGAGGTTTTTTTTCAGGTCAAAGTTTTGTATATAAGAAATTGGAACAATAGCTTTATAGCCGTCTGTGTATTTGACATAGGCAAACATGGCGAATAATCCAAGCTTGGTTTCGCGCCGTTTGGATGTCTCCTCGAGCCGCCTGTGTTTTTTGGGCACGAGACACAGTTTCGTAATGTTTGCTCAGAGCTGTTTACCTTCATTAATGCCACTGAGGAGGCACAAAGGACGGCTGTGCACCGTGACTCTGGCAGCAGTCATCTGACAACAATTTTTGTATATTATTACAATGGCCTTATTGTTGTTCTTAAATATAATGTCTCTTAATGAGTTTGAAATGTCTGAAACACTTCACACCAATCATAACCTCAGCTCATATGAACTGTGGACTTTGACATTCCTTCTCACAGCTGTTATCAAATTATATGTTGAAAGTTGTTAAAAATATCTAGAAGACCTAAAGTTATTGAGAGTATATAGTAAAAAATTTAAGCATAATATTATAACATTTGCTGCTTGGACAATACATACCTGACTGATGCTGTCTGTAATCTTCCACCTTGTGAGGCAATCTGATCTTGAAATATCTTGAACAGGCATATGTTGCTTTTAATGGTTATTACTGGTGTTTTTACTGACATGTAATGTATCCAGTAAGCACTTCATGATGCAATTGAGGAGAGATGCCACAATTTGGATGTTTCTTTCCACTGGCCATTGGTTATGTTAAATTAAAAGCCTAAATGTATATTACAAGGATCTCAAAAGTGACAGTCATGTGTGTATGAAACATTCTTTTACTGTTAAGATGCCAAAACGAAAGTACAAAGAATACCTGGAGCCTTGCAGTAGCTCAGAAACACCAAGATCTATGCTCAGAAGAATGGGTCAGCAGAAGGCTGTAATTGAGGTAAATCTCTAATGTACATATGGCATTATGTCTTTTTAATATTATCCTGATCTTGCAACTAATGTGTTTCTTGGGTTTTTTAATCAATAAACAATGAATATGTTTATTAATGCTCTTTAATTAGTGATTGAAAGTATTTGATTAGTTTGCCATGTGTCAAGTGCAGACAGACAGATAATTTGATGCATTATAGAAATAAAAGTAACCATAAGAGATGGCAATGTGCAATTGATGTAAATGTTTTTGAATTAATCTAAACTTGAATCATTTAAACCTACTATAAATCATCTATCTTTAAAAGAAGCAGATCTCCTCAGATGAGGAATTGCCACTGCAAGACAGCAACTCTTGATAGAGGTACAATATATATACTCAACAAACAGCCAGTGCGGTGGATGACGGGAGTGTGGTCATAATAATCTTTTTTATAATTAACTGTCCACATGGGCAGTTTGGCATGCCCTGCTTTCAACTTGCCATTGTGCTCTTAAAAGAAAATGCAGATTTCCATAAAACAACAAGCAACATAGCAAATGAACAAACTCAAGTTTCCCAGTGTCTGTCGTTAAGCTTGTCTGCGATCCACGAGGCTCTACTAATGTCCATGTCATCTTTTTACAAGGAGGAGGACCTGTACAGTTATTCGCAAGAAATAATAACTGGAGTGGAACATAAGAGTTTGCAACTTGTGAGCGAAGTATGTATTCTCAAATTATTGCCACCATTGTTTTTACTATGTTTATTCAGTTGCATTAGTGGGAGATCGTTTTGTATGTTACACATTGCTTCTCTAAAGTGTATTTCAAACACATATGTAACATTTTGTGCCCAGACAAGAGAGCACTCAAATTTCAGGCCTTACTTATTTATTAACTAGTCAAAAATGTTTAATAAAAATATATTAATTCTTTGATTTTATATCTTTGGAAAGTTAGACAGATACTAGGGCTGCACAATAAATTTAATCGCAATTGCCTATAATTTTAACTTAAGTTGCATAGGCTACAGCTACGTAACGTACAGAAGCAGTTGACTGATTACTATTTATAGAGTGGCTGCTGTTTACTTCTACAGCTAACCATGATTTTAGTATTCAAAGCTTCTATAGATTATTTCAACGACTCATCGATGCGTTGTTTAATAAGTACTTTTGCTTGGCGGCGGCAGCCCCCGGTAACGGGATCAGCTGTACACGTTGATAGATGATAAATATTTATTAGTCCTTTCTGAAATTCATAGTGTGTCATACAGCAAACATCAAACCGACAACGTCAACAGACAAACTACCAGACAACTGGTTTACCAACACAAACTTCAGCGCGAGACTACAGCTAGCCATCTAAAACACTATATTTAGGTGAATTTAAACAATGGCTAAGTTGCTAAACGCGTCTTGTTGTCGTGTAAGGGCCCTGTTCATGTTGGACAGACGTTAATTAATTTAATTGCATTTTGTGTCTGTTAAGAGGCACAAAGAAACTCTTTATGTATATGCCCCATAACTGCCGTTTTAGCTGAGTGGGAGCTCTGGGCATTAGGTGAGATAAAATAAATGTTGGCGTTAATTAATTAATGCATTAACTTGCCCAGCCCTAATTAATATATGTTATATTCACACCAACAGTAAACAATTAACTGAAAATTATACTCTTCATTCAAAGTCATAATATTATACTAATACACACATGTATACTAGTTCCCCTTCCAGGTTGTAGATAGTCTCTACAGTGGTCAGATGTAGAATTAGACAAAGCCACGGTGGCAGTGTGCCAATATGTTCTCCTTCTACCTGCCTCCTCCTGAGGGCAACACGCTCCCCTTGTTCTGTTTTACACCTGTTTTACTAGTTATTGTTATAAATATTTGTTTAGTGTTCAAGTTGAGAAATAAACATTTCAAAATTTCAGTATTGGTTGATGGTTAAGCAAGAAGACTCATAGTACCATTATTTCCATTATAATCGAATCGTAATATTGTCTACAATAATCGGGCAGCCCTATAGGATACCAATAGAATAGTAGGTCAATTAGTTGCCAACTAATAAATTAATTGCCAGCTAGTTTGATAATCGATCAAAAGTTTTGAATAATTTATTAAGAAGAAAGTTCTGATTTCATCTTCTCAAATGTTCTGATCAATCTAATATAATACTGTCTTATTTCAAAAGGAACACGCGTTGTCTTCAGATGGAGAAGTTTCACAAGTGGGAGAACACACTGCACATGTTGGTCAACAGCCTGTGATAGAGGTACATTCTCTATAGTCACTGTAGAATTGTACATTTCATGTCATTTTTAATGTACTAATGTACATGTCTTCTCCTTTAAGGATGAGGCCCTCTCTGATTACTTACATGTGACAGATGTACCTGGATGAGACGATGAGATTCGGCATCTTGCAAATGAGGTACATTTTCAGAATGAAATCTTGAAGGTACATAAAAAGACTACTCTGGAATGATTGTGACATGTGAAAGATAATTGCCACTTGGGAGGTTGCCAAAGTTATGTTCCAGTACTTTCACTCTGCATGTCTGAATTATGACTATAGAGGAAACACTGAATGTTATTTGTCTTTAAGCCATACACACACAGTACTTGTAGGATCACTATAGGAAAAAAAACACCACCCTCAAAAATAGTAGATAACCAACATGTTGGATCCCTGTTTAAGGAAGAAACAAAAATTAACCTTGTATAAAGATGTTCTGAAAGTTGTCAAAATAAAATTTTATGTCACTGTTCTTCCAAGGCTTTGACTTCATCAGAAGGTGATGTAGAGACACTGCAAGACAGCATTTCGTCAGATGAAGATTCAGAGTCGGCAGAAGATAACAACTTGGACTATTCAAATGATCCACATAGGAAGAGAGTAAACATGGATATGGACACGCCTCTGGCGGCCACAGGTACAACATCAAGGGCTGAGGCATTACTAATGATCATGACCTATGCTGCAAGGCATCAAATAACTGGATCTGCGCTTGATGATTTACTCAAACTTATCAATCACTTATTTGGGCAAGATGTTGTACCAGGGTCAAAGTATGCCTTTAACAAAGTGTTTCAAAATAACATAGACAAAGTCGAGTTTCATTTTTACTGTAAGGCCTGTCAAAAGGATGTGTTGGAGAACAGTGTTACACAGTGTTTGGGGTGTAATTCACCAGTTGAGCCAAAAACCCTCAACAATGGCAGCTTCTTTATCAGTGTCCCAATATCTCTCCAGATTCAGCACATTCTTCAAACTCCAGAGCTACAGAGCCAGTTGAGCTACCGGGTGAACAGACCAGGGAAAGCAGAAAACATTATATCAGACATTTATGACGGTGACCTGTACAAAGTCCTGTCAGAACCAGGTGAAACTTTATCTGACCCTAACAACCTGTCATACACATTCAATTCAGATGGCTCACCTCTTTACAAATCATCCAAATTTTCCATCTGGCCCATTCACCTTCACCTCAATGATCTGCCACCAAACACTAGGTTCAAACACGTGATCTTGGCTGGATTGTGGTTTGGATCAACAGAGCCTCAGATGCATGTTTTTCTTAAGCCTTTTGTAGATCAAGCAAAAGTGCTTGCAACCAAGGGAGTGTCGTGGAGAAAGGATGGGAAAGTTGTCATCAGCAAAGTTGTGGGTTTCTGCTGCTGTGTTGATTCCAAGGCCAGACCAGCAATGCAGAACTGTACACAGTTCAACGGGTATTTTGGTTGTGGTTTCTGCCTCCACCCAGGCACACTTGTAAATGGACAAGTGAAATACACTATCACAGAAACAGATTACCCTGACAGAGATGCAGAGAGCATGTTAAATGACATGGAGGAAGCTGTCATCCTACAGAAAAATGTAAGGGGAGTAAAAGGGCCATCTCCTTCGATTAATATGCCATGCTTTGACATTGTGTGGGGCTTTGTCCCTGATTATATGCATGCTGTTTTGTTGGGTGTTGCAAGGCAGCATGCAGCCCTTCTACTTCAGAGCACAGATGAGCCATATTACATTGGTGACCCAAGTACATTGAGAGTATTGAATGAGAGAATCCAAAATATCAAACCACCACACCTTATCACTCGACTTCCCAGACCCATCTCAGATATTAAATACCGGAAAGCATCAGAGTGGAGGGCTTGGCTGCTGTTTTATAGTTTGCCATGCCTGGAAGGACTTATAGATGGGAAATACACAAAGCATCTTTCCCTTCTTGTTTCAGCAGTCTACCTGCTTTTGCAAGAAGAAGTTAGTTTTGAGGAGGTCAACAAAGCAGATGAGATGCTGTTAGAATTTGTGATAAGATTTCAAGCACTGTTTGGAGAGACAGCCATGACCTCAAATGTCCATCTTCTCACACATCTGGCCAAGTCTGTGAAGTTGTTGGGTACTTTACGGGCACACTCTGCCTTTGTTTTTGAAAGCGCTAACGGGAATCTTCTTAAGTTGGTACATGGCACAAAAGATGTTCCCAAACAGATTGTGGGCAAATTTTTGCTTCACAGATCAATTTCCCATTTTGCAACCAAACACAGAGTAAGTGACCGTGTTTTTGGTTTCTGTAGTCAAATGAGTGACTACTCAAAAGTTCAGAATTACAAAAAAATGCCACAACACCACGGTTCTGGATGGTGGACGAGTCAAACATCTCACACAGGCAGAGCAACAGGCTTTTGGTGCAGCAGGACAACAGCCTCCAAATGAAATCCTCACACACAAGAGAATGATTCACCAAGCTCTTGTTTTTACCAGCCGTGAATACAGTCGAGCAAAGAGACGCAATGATTGGAGCGTCAGATTGGCTGATGGATCTAGGGGAGAGTTGCATCAGATTCTCTCTTATGAGGTAGATGGAAAAAGCGAACTTGCCCTGCTTTTCATTCCATTTTACACACTTCCAGCTGCCTTCCCACAAGAGGTGTCTGTGCCACACATGGCCTGCGTCAGACATGGTGATAGATCACAAATGCAGCTGATTTCAGTAGAGAGACTATACCACAAGTGTCTTGTCATAGAATGTGCTGAGAAAGTGTTTGTGTGTGATTTACCAAACACTTATGAGAGAGATTAAAACATTAGTAGGCAGTATTTGTTCACATTAGGGACACCTTAGTGACTTGTACTGTACATGTTATGAAATCTGATTATCTTCATTGTCATTAATCTGTCTTGATGATTATTTCCTCAATTTATTGTGTGGTCTATAAAATGGTCAAATAAAATGTTTGAAAATCTAAAGAAGACTTCCTCAAATATTTTTTGTCCACAACAAAGAGGTTAATTTTTGTTGTCGTAGAGGAAACCAGAAACTCACATTTGAGAAGCTGGAATCAGAGAGTTTGGACTTTTCTTTTTTTTATAAATGACACAAGATGATTAATTGGTATTAACATGTGTTTGAATAGCAGCTCCAATCTGGATCATCTTGTTTTACATTTCAGTGTTTTATTTATCTATTTTGTTTTTCTGTAAAGATATAAGTGGGTCTTGAATTCTTTATAATTTATTGTTTGGTTATTGACTTACTGATGAAATGTTTTTGATATATCTTGTGTCTTTTCTTTAAGTAACGCAAGCATATTGTTGAATTGCATTGAAATAGATGATAAAAAGAGGGCCATTTAGTATTTAAATAGGACATTTGATTATAACATTTCATTATGGATGCAGATACAAAACCATTATTATGCATTTAATATGGGTAAAACAATTCAAAGCATGTGTAAGTATTCACCTTTGGTCAGCATTTATTTTTTGCATTCAAGTTAATTCCTCTTTCCAGTGAGTTCTGCCTTCTTTTAGTAAATGCTTATCTTTCCATCAGATGTGACCTTTTGTCTAGTGTTCCAGTGTAAGGAAGGTTCTATCTTAGTGTCATTAAAGTTACAGGAAAAACAGGTATATTATCTATATTATATATTTTACAAATTCAGCTGGAGACAAACAAAGAAAATCATCTTTGCCAATTATGATGTTTCCATAGGGTAGTGTAGGGTCTTTACTGCTTCACAGGGGACGGGTCACATGCATGGCAAAGTTCAAAGAGGGTCCTTCTCTGAAATTTGTTCGCCACACAAAGGCAAGGGAAAGCTCTTAACACATCATGTTTGGGTTGTTTGAGTCAATCTTGGAACCAAGCACTGCTTTCAGACAAGTGCAACCTTCTTGACCAGTAACCATAGACTGCATAAAAAAGTAATACACCAGTAATATGTAGCAACTGAAGAACCAGATGTTGGCATATAGGTTTTTGTAAATATTATACATCTATTCAAAACCTCAGGTTGTTCTACTTTTCTATACACAGTTGCCAGTTTAATATTGAAATTTTATTTGAGTGCTTCAGTGAACTTAACCTGCTTGGCCAAGCTGGCCTACCAGTTACACCAGCTTGACCCAGCTGGCAGACCAGCCTGAACCATGGCCCAGCTAAGTAACCAGTTCAGTAAGGAACCAGCTGCACCAGCTTGTTACCAGCTTTACCAATCCAATAAACCAGCATAACCAGCTCAAAACCAGCTAAAACCAGCAACCATCTTAAGCTGGTTTAAGCTGTTTTTTCAGCAGGGTGAAAAAGTAAACATTTTGGCCATCAATCTAAATTTTCCTCCCTAAACGTCAGATAAATAATAATAATCACTTCTACAAATGAAATCACATCCAAAATATGTTGAATTTGATCCCAGCCAGACAAAACCAACTGCCAAAGCTGAATTCTGGTAAAAAAACAAAAAAAAAAACCAACCAAAATGCAGCTCATACATTACAGGATAGTTCACCTCACTGGGCATAGATGTTTCAATGGGATTGGTTCAATTTAAAATGTGTTTACACTGTACATAAAATACACCTGATGCCTCCTACCATGTTTTCTGGCACTGCACAGGTTTAATTGTGTGTCTGAGAGGTTCTGGAAAAATGTGCACATTTACTAATGACCTGTACCTTTCTATGTTTGGATTCATATGTTGTATTATCCCATGTATGATGAACTACACATGAAAATAAAAATCATGTTGGACTCCTCTCCTGGCTATGAAGTTTCTCCTTGTTCATTCGTTTCATGATGTTCACCATAGACCGTTTTCATGGCACATATTTTTAGTTGTCACAGATTTAACTCATTTTGTGAACAATGTGCTCAGTTCGATCCAGTGTCCCAGTGAGCCTCGAGCATGAGCCAACATGCAGAACACCAGGACCCTGAGATTAGCTCACCTAAATGGAACCCATTTGTTTTTAATGTCATAGAGAGCCTAAGTCACTCGCTTCTGCTTTCGGCCCATGGGACCTTATTTCGGGAAAAATATGTCCGTCAGTCAACGGCGAGAGACAACTTATCTTTTTATCCCGTTAACTATTATCTGATGTTGTTACCTGACCAGGTGAGTCCTGGTCCAAAGGAATGTGTTTAAACACTGCTCTAAGTTTGCTGCCTGGTCAGGTGAGGTTACCTGTTTTAGTGATGATGATGATAAAGGTACTTGACCAGGTAAAGTTACTTGCATAAGTGACGTTTACAGGTTAGCTGATGTTACCAACTAAGTGAAGTAACCTGAAGAAGATGTTACTTGTTAGTTACCTGTTAAATTATATTTCCCAATAAGCTTCAGTTACCTGACCAGGTGAGTCCTGCTTTACAGAGCAGCTGTTTCAAATGTCATTTTTAAATCACCAGAAGTTCTGAAACATCATATTTTTGATGTTCATAATTCAATCATGACCTTTGAAACAGCAGTTGAAAGAAGTAATCTCACATGAAGGTCCATTAAGTCGTTCGGGCCGTTAATGGCTTCAACTTATTCGCTCCTCATTTCCAGTATAAAAGAAGTTGGCGTAGTCGGCGTGACGTCCCCCCGTTGGTTTGTGGACTACCAATTTGATGCCTTGAGTTTGTTAGTTTGACCGTCGCCATCTTGTTTTTTTGGAACCAGACGTGACCATATTTGGACGAGAGGGTGGAGCTAGCTAACTTGGTTAGCAAGGTGCATCTGTAAGTCACATTAACTGTGATATTAGCTGGGATGCTAATTTTAGCTAGCGACAAAAAAAAGCGTAGAACATAACGTACCATCTGAAAAATGACCAGCTGACGGCTGATAAGTTTTTTCAGCGGCGCTGGTTAAATGTACACAGAGCAGCGGATACGAGTCGCCTCTATCCTGATTGACAGGTTGCCATGGTAGCAACTTGTCAGCTTGTAGCCCTGCCCTAAAGCCTCCCCTGCTTCCTGGTCTCTGTTCCTCTAAATGGGACCATAATTTACTAAATGAACATCATGCTGTGTTGAAGAAGACTTGAAACTAGCGACTGAGACCATAAACTCATCAGGAAAGTGTTTACTGAGGGAATAAATCAGCTGACAAGTAGAAACATTTTCTCACAGACTTCTATACAATCACACTTCTTCCTGCAGCCGCTGGAGTCGCCCCCTGCTGGCTGCTACAGAGAATGCAGCTTTAAGGAGCTTCACTTTTCAGACCTGGAGGTTCCTGCTTGAGTCACATCACATGATGATGATCATGAGGTGCGATATTCAACCCTTTACATTAACTCCTGTAAAGTTCACATCCTTTGGAAAATGTTCATCAGGGAAAGATTTAAAACGTGTGAAATATTTCATGAGACAGAAGAAAACAGACGTTTGAGGTGGATACTGACTTTAATTCAGAGTGTGAGATAAATAAAACTCTTTAGTTTTACCGCTGACAGACGAGTGATCACACTGACAGAGCTGCTGCACACAAGCTGAAGTACATGAACACGACAGGAAACGAACCAATCACAGCGCTGACGAGCCGTAGCCACGGTTACCTTCACTGTCCATCCACAACCTGTCCAGCTTCACACTGAAGGAGGGAACATGGAGTCAGTGTGAAGGTTTTTAAAAATATGACCTTTCCATAGAGGAGCAGAGCGGGCAGGGTCAACTACAAGTCCCAGAAACCATTGCTGTCAGAAACAACCAATCAGAGAGCTTCTGACTCTGTTGCTGGGCAGCTGATGCTGGGTAAAGTTAAAGGTTGATCTGTGAAGAACTGATCGATAAATTCAGGAATTTGAAGTGATTATTTTTGGACTTTGCAAACGACTGCGGAGGATTGTGGGTATTGTAGTGTTTAAAGCCACTCCACTGAACAAACTGAGAATGTTTCCTGCAAGAACGATATAATTTGGTCCCAATTACAGGTCAAATAGAGACAGAGTTTGGGTTATTAGTTAGTTGTGCTGTTTTTCCAGGAAACTTTTCAGGAAACATAAAGTAATTGAAAAGGATTTTGTGAACTAAAGCTCCGCCCACTTCACTCCTCCATCATTTCTTCTGATTTTAGCAACAAACAACTGATCAGATACTTTTTCACCAAGAAGCAGCACAAACAAAGAAACACAGGAAATAAAAATCCTAAAAGACAATGACAAAATACACCTTCTCCTCCTCTCCTCCTCCATCTGTATCCTCTTCTTCTCCCCTCCTCCTCTCATCCTTCTCTCCTCCTCCCCTTTCCTCTTCTCTCCTCTAATGTCCTCTCCTGTTTTCCACTCCTTTCCTCTCCTCCTCTCCTACTCTCCTCCTCCTCGCCTCCTGTCCTCCTTCTCCCCTCCTCTCCTCTAATCTCCTCTCCTGTTTTCCTCTCCTTTCCTCTGCTCCTCTCCTTCTCTCCTCCTCATCGCCTCCTCTCCTCCTTCTCCCCTTTCCTCTCCTCTCCTCTCCCCTCCTCTCCTCTCCTCTAATCTCCTCTCCTGTTTTCCTCCTCCCCTTTCCTCTCCTCTCCTCTCCTCTCCTCTCCTCTTACTCCCTCATGTACTCCACAATCTGATCAATCAGCATTTGGGGGTCGTAGTTTAGGACGGCTCTCCTCCGACGCCTACGACCCCCATTATTCAGTTCTTCCATGGCGGCGGTTGCCATGGTATCGATGCGTTTCATCCTCTGCAGCCCGGCAGCAGGGGGGCGGAGCTCCTCCTCCTCTTCCTCCTCCTCCAGCCTCTTCACCCTGAGCAGTGGGGGGTCAACGCTAGGTGACGGGGGAGCCATGTCATCGAGGGAGCGGCGGTTTCTCCTGTGGGCGGAGCTAACGGGTTCACCTGCGGTGTCAGACACGTCCCTCCTCGCTCGGCGACCGGAGATTATCTGGGCGTTGTTAGGGCCGATGCTGGACAGCACCCTGGCAACCAGACGTCTGAGGACGAGAAGATACAGGTAACAAGATACAGGTAACAAGATACAGGTAAGAAGAAACAGGTAAGAAAACACAGGTAACACGACAGAGTTAACAAGTTACAGATAATAAGATACGGGTAACAAGACACAGGTAAAAAAGAAACAGGTAAGAAGACAGAGTTAAAATATAAATATTTAGCAGCTGGATGCTGTCTGTGTGTGAATGTTTGATCACCTCAGAGCGTCCTGGTCGCCGACTCTGTTCAGTCCTGATGAAGCTCGTCCGGCCTGCTGAAGTCTCTCCTGTCTCGCTCTCTCCAGCAGATTCTGAGCCACCTGAGGCTCCATTCTGACAATCACAGGTAGGTTACTATTATTATTATTTACTACTGATAACTTTGATGACTAATATAACTAATATTCTACTGAACATGAAGAGATCGGAGAACAGATTCAATAAAAAGTTCTTAAACTCCAACCCCAGCCACATCTGTGTTACTAGAATCAGGAAGTGGTGTTCACCTGTCCAGCAGGGCCTGAGCCAGCTGAGGCTCCAGAAGGCCCCACCAGGCAGCCGGGGGCCTCCCCATGTTTAGCCCTCTCCCAGTCTCATCGTAGTCTGGAGGGGCCGGGCCCTGAAAGTCCCCTGGTGGCGCCTGATCATCCTCCTCATCCTCCTCTTCCTCCACCACCTCCACGTCACCCGGTCCGACCAATCCTGCACTCTCTGCCTCGTT